TTCCCTTCAGGATTCCGAGTTAGCACCCACCTCGTGATGTAGTTTTTTAATTTCCTCAATGTACATCCTAGCTACCTCCAGCGTCTTCTACTAATTTCCTCTTCACTTGGAAGCTGGTTTGTTCTCTGCCATAGTAGGTTGTTGCTGATGGTCTCCTGCCAACTGTTTATAGACACCTGTACCATTTTGATGACAGTCGGAGTACTTCTCAAAGTTTCAGCTCCGTACAGTAGGACTGTCTTGACGTTCGTGTTGAAGATTCTCACTTTGATATTGGTTGAAAGTTGTTTTGAGTTGCATATGTTCTTCAAGTGTCGAAAGGCGTCCCTCGCTTTGCTAATCCTTGTCATGAAGCCTACATCAGATCCTCCTTGTTCATCGATGATGCAGGTGACCAGGTACGTAAAAGATCCCACATCTTCCGGACTTTCTCTACCAAGCGTGATTGGGCGGGTGTTCCTCGTGTTGTGTTTGAGAACCTTGCTTTTTCTCTTGTGTATGTTAAGGACTACTGTCACACTGGCTTCTGTTACACTGATTATCTTTGTCTGAATTTGTTCGTGTGTACGGGGTATGAGGTCTACGTTATTTGCGAAATCCAAATATTCTAAATGATTCCGAGTGGTCCATTGTATTCCATGCTGCCCCAGATATGGAAGCCTTCATAGTCCAGTCTACCACCAGAAGAAAGAGGAAGGGACATAGTTTGCAGCCTTGTCTGACTCCGGTCCTCACTCGGAATGCATCTGAGAGCTTTCCTCTATGCAAAACTTTACACTGTAGCCTGTCGTATGAATTCTGCACGATATTGAAGATCCTCTCAAATACACAATAGTGTCGAAGAAGGTTCCATAAAGTTCTCCTATCCACATTGTCAAACGCCTTCTCATAGTCAAGGGAGTTTAAGTATCGTGATGAATTCCATCCCCTTGATTGCTCAACGATTATATGCAGTGTCGCGATTCGGTCTGTGCACGGTCGATCATTATGAAATCCGGTCTGTTGATTTGGACTTTGGGCATCTACTGAATCTTTCATCCGGTTCAACAACACTCTGTTGAAAACATTTTCCGGTACTGGCAGTAGTGTGATGCGTGCTATGCATTAAAACAGATATTATAAAATTATTACATGTATTCCTCGATCAGTTGCTGCCGCCTTCCTTTTGATTCATCTTTCAGCTTATGAATATCCGGAGGATTCTTATTATTCTTGATAACCTCCGGCGCGCCACAACCCCACTCAAAATGATATCGAACCAACGTCATGTTGATTCTGGTGGGGGAGTAGTGTAGTGGCATTGGGCCCTAACTACACAATTCTCAAAGCTGAACATGGAACAGTTCGGGAAATAGACATTCAACATTGAAGGCGGAGAAAAACTCAACGATGGAGAAGGTAGGAACAATGGATCAAGTAAATTCGAATTGATTGGATGGGTTGGCTTGGCCTTGCAGTCGTGGCTGTCCTTGAATGTTGTTATATACCCTTTATTCATATTAAATATATTGTTCTATCTCTAGCCTAAGTGTGTTCTCCATCATATACTGATGATTGTTACGACGCGGTGAGTTGGTGTAGATAATAATGTGACTTTCACGTAAGATCTTATAGATTGGGCAGTTACATTGCGAAAAATGTACAATTTTAGGATTATGTCTATTATTAGAGCAGTACTAATATCATTGTAGAGCATAATTCAATAATGCCTCTGTAGTTCGCACATTTGCTCAGATCTTTTTTGGTATCTTGATGAAGTGTCTTTCTTTCCAGTCTGTTGGTGGCAAGTCTTGCTCAATGGAACGTGGAGCATGTTTGCAGTTACTTCTATACCTCACCTCAGAACTTCAGGTGGTACACTATCAGACCCTGCTGCTTTCCCACTCTTGATTTGTCGGATCACCCCATCTATACCAAAAAGAACTCGCAAGGCCGACTGGAAATGGTTCAGGCATCAAAAATTCATTGTTAATTACATGTTAACACCAACAGAGGTATAGGGACTCCCACGTCTTGTAGGGAAATTAACTAGTGGTTTGGCCGTACAATCTACCCCTAAGGTTATCTAAATAGTCAGCAAGGAGCACTGCATTTCGAAACGCATTTCAACTACCAAACAAAAAAGGACCGTAACCTGAACGTACCCGAAAACCTACGAAAATGATCATGGTTCTCAAAAATTCTCTGTAAGATCCATTTTGAATCTTTTGTGTGTGAAACTCCCTCCATGTATACATTTGCAGTTTGTTCCTATTGCTTACTTTATTTGCACATTGTTAGTCTTTTTGATCTCACTTGAGTGGTTAATATTTGTATTTCATTATAGTCTTAATTTTTCTTACGCCTTCACCAAGTTTCCGTGTTTCTTCCTGAACTGCATTTATGTTGTTTTACTCTATGCTTAGTCTGGGCGGCAGCCATATTGGTCTGTTCCTCCTTTTGATTGCGTTGCTTGTATTGACTGGAATTGTGCATTTCTGATTGTGAATTGAGGTACTCTTCCAGAATTGGAAACACCCTGTGTTATAAAGCAACCAAATATATTTTGAACGAATCTGTGCGTGATCTATCCAGGCAGGATAGAATAGCATTTATTTGTTGTGATTGATTTGATTAATTGAACAATTGGTTAGATAGCTGGGTGGTCATATTTGTTTAGAATCGTCATTTTACCCAGTTACCTTGTTTTGGTTTCAAGCGGGCAAGGGCACGTATCTAACCCACCTAGACAGTTATCCTTCAGTCCAAACCTTAGTTTGGATCTTACACTCTCATAATCATGAACCTAAAAGACAGCTCTGACCTTCCTCTCTTTCTGCAGGCCGGAAATGAGAGGATGTCTTGAGAAGAGTTTAACAAGAAGCTCAAACTCTTCAATATAGAGCCACTGTTGATTACACGGCTGACTCCGGAGAAGGACTCCAAGCACCAAAATCACTCTAGACCCTGTGTAACGTTCCCTAACACTGCCGTAGTAGAGGATGTCCCGCTGGCTATTCACTTACTGAAATCAGATGTGAATGCAAGAATACTGCCTGATATACCATATTCTGGGCGCAATCTCGTCAGGGATATTCCTAAAGAATCCCATGAGCCGTTATTTGTGGAGGAAATATCATTGTACAAGGTGTGTCAGAAAATACGGCCCTGACAACGCATGCTCTGATATTTTGGAATGAGGATTCATCATACATTTCCGGGAGTTCAAAAACATGCTGACTCAACAAGTGGCGAGTCTAGCCAAGACGAACAGGGGTCCTAGATTCCGGCTGGTGAAGATAACCTCCCCATCCCTCAGTATGGTGGCTACCACTCTCGAAAGATTTCTTGCCAACAGACTCTGGTTGGAGATCTCAAATTACGGATCAGGAGCTGGCAATACCAGCGATGTCTTTGTTTCTCAACGACAGAAAAGCAGGGATGGGGGCGTAGGAACCTTGTACCTGAGATCTTGCATAGAAGTACATCAAGTACATAACTAAGGGTTTGTCAACCTTGATGAATCGGTATGGTACTCAGTAAGATTATCTAACATCTCGAGGCGACTAGTTAGAATAATCTACACTCACATCCTGATTCTTGGTGGCTTCAGTCTTTCTAAATCGAACTTCGCAGAACATACGTACATTGGACGTGACAAACCTACTGAAGCTCGGTTCTTTAACGTCATTTAAGATTTGTGATTATTCCAAAATGTGAAGTTAGCAACTTAGTAGAGAAACGGTTATATACCGTCAGTCTCAGACTGCATATTTACAAACGAGGAATTCCTTAGTGATAACCTCTCGATCGACATTTTAAGGTTATGTTTAACTTTAATTTCAGGATACGGACTGTCTCAGTGGGGTTCCCCAGGGCTAATTACTAGGACCTGTTCTTTTCTCAATTTATGTAGACGGTCTTCCAAAACATGTGTCGTCGGATTTATTACTTTTCTCTGATGAGGTGAAAATCTAGAGGGAAGTATGAAACTAAGAGGGTAAACTGGCACTACGGGATGATCTGACTCGACTTCAAAGTTGGGTAGATAACAACGGACTCACCTTCAACACTCCAAAGTGTAAAGTAGTCCGAAACATATTGTAGACTACGAATATAACTTGGTTAACTCCAGTCTAGAGGTATCTCAAGTTGAAAAAGATTTAGGAGTATTGATGTTCTGTGATCTGAAGTCTTACGCTAACTGTGACAAAAATGCTTTTCGAACAAACCTGGCACTGGTAACGTAGAAGCGCATTCACGACCAGTTCGACAGAAAGGCTTTCCACATAATCTTCAGAGGTTTTATGTGACTCCGTTTAGAGTATGGCAACATCGTATTCCCTGCAGAAGGATATGAGACACTGGCACGTATCTAACGGCGAGCCACTCAAATTCGAGTCGTATGGGGAGCGCCTTCAGTCACTGAACCCTTTCTCGTCAGAGTACAGGCGTCTTAGAGGTGACTTTCTAATGACTTACAGCATTCTTAATACTTCACGGCATCTCAAACATCAATCTAAGCCTAGTCGCAACACAAACCTTAGGGGTAGCACCCCGAAACTGGAGACTCAACACAACAGAATGTACTGTAGACACGCCTTCTATTTCTTAAGAGTAATCAAATTCTGGAATTCGCTGCTGGCTGAGTTGGTCCAATGGACTTCCCAGGAATCATCTAGGAGAAAACTTGGCATATTCCTAAGAACTAAGAACAGTCACTATGATTTACTAGTTCTTTTTTCCTCTTTCGTCGTTAGTATACCTTGGTTCTTATTTGAAGGCATGGGTGAACCACTGCTACTAGATACGAAAACCAATCAAGTGAAAGTCTATACCGTCCGAGCCATTTGTACCATTTGAAGACAGCAACTGCATTGGCGTGGATTTGGAACGTTGGTTATGTTTAAATAAGAGTTTAATGCATGTGAGAACAGGGGAATTTTTATGGTACAGCGAACACAGATTGAAGACTTTCAAATTTTTCTTTGCTTATTAATCCGGATTGGTAGTTGACACTTGTTTCAATCCCTTCCCTTTTAGGCGCTCCCCAGGGAATAATCGGTTTTGTCTAGAATGGAGCAAGGGTACGAAAAACGACTGTTAGGGTCTCCTTATAAATCGGTATGTGCTTTTTGTTACGCCTTTACGTCCATAGCCCATTAAAACAGTTAGCCCCATGAAGACTCCAACGAAGGAAAATTACATGGACCGATACATCCCATTGAGAGCAAATGCACGTTGGAAAACGTCGACATCTTTCGAGGTTAGTTTGTTTATGGTTTTATTCATTGTTATGTAGCAAACAAATAGTAATCCAACGCGTAAGCTGTTTCAAAGTAGTCGCGGAAATACTGATGGGCTCAGTAACGATGTTGATTCTCCAAATCAGAATGGCTATCCAAGTCACGGTCTTGCGTCTTTTACTGGCGAAAGTAACTGGGGAACATCTGGTGTCAATTCGGCCATGCAGGAGCCTGCACCACCCACGGAAGCGAGAGGCTGCGACCTTCTCTCTGCTCTTGTAGCCAACGAACTTGAGGAAGCCTCATTAGGTGGGGCTTATAGCCCTGTGAATTCAAGATGCAGTTTCGGTAATTCTGGCGTTCTGGCAGCTAGAGAAAACAACAATGTGTTTTCCGTAAGTTTGAGTAACAGTACGTTTAGTTGTCTATATTTTCCATAATTCACATTAACATATTGGCTGGCGCCTACATGAGCAAGTGCTATTCTCAATTTCTAAATCCACCAATAGTTAAGATAGCTGCTCCTGAAGTTCATCATTAAACGGTTGTCTCTATAACAAACCAATGGTCGTAATGTCAACATTGCGGACTCCTCAAGATGGATAAGTGATTCACGTTAAAGCACCTACCTTTTGAGGTCATGATTTACTGTCCACTCAACATTTAATAAAGGCATGTTCTGTAAAGGAAACAAAATCTGTAAGAATTACCATACTTATACCATTATTGTATTCAGTAAATAGTTGTCTAATTAGTAGTCCAGACCTAGACTTTGGTGAGTAGTCTGCAGGTTGCAGACTTATAGGCGTTCGTGCCGTGTGTTCTGTATCGTGTTGGCTTTCTTTGACATGATTCAAGTCATTCCTTTCTGAATTTTACAAAACTGGCTTCTCACTTGTCAAGTAAATTGTGGTGTCGCTCAAGAAAGAAACACCTGGTCTCTGACTTAGTAATTATATATGCTAAGTAAGTAACACATGGTTTTTGTAAATAAAAACTATTCAGACCCTAGTAAAATGTAGTGTGTCCGTCCGGTGTCTGTTTGCAAGCCAACTCTTTTACCTTCCAAAGTCCGATTTTTCAGAAATATTAGTTCAACATATCTTGGTTCGTTTTCGTCATAATGTTTTGCCGTTACCAGCTATGAGTTAAAATAAAATGTAACTTAGTCTGGGACGCTAGGTAATCAGGCTACGGTAATTTGTCAAGTAAGTCACATTTCCGTACATAGTTCCACATTATTTTCTAGTCTAGCCCCGAGTGTAGGATAAATTTACCTGTCCGATACTTTTGTAGTCTAAATGACCCTTTCGGTCTATACTAAATAAATACAAAATACCTTGAAACAGCTTTGCTTGTTATTATGTTTGACGTGTCACTGAACGCTTTATTTCACCCTGTTCGGTAACCGAATCAGATTCTCGGTCGTCACATGATGCATAATTGGTTAGTTAGTTGCTAGATAATTTTACTAGCTCGCATAGCATCTCTTATAGTGCTCGAAAAGTAGGTTAAGTTGGCATTTAAAATGCGTCGTACATAGTTTGCGTCTGACTAGTCATTAGTGTTTTGTTATCCAGTTATATTCGTTTTGATTATTGTTATTCCTCACACCAAATGCCACTTATACCGCGCACTAGTTTCTTAATCTTGTGTCTGTTTTGACTGGCTTGTCCCTCTTAAACTAGTTTTTTTCTGATAAGGAAATTTGTGGTTGCAAATTGTATGTTTATCTTCATCTGGTGATAGATAGTAATAATTAGTCTAAAAGCCATACAGTACAATAAAAAAGAACTGTGAACCAGTAAAACGAGGTTATAGACTTGCTCTAAGTTTTGCGCTTTATGATCCATGTCAGGATTATAAAAGCAACGAAAGTCCTCATGATCGTCAGCTAATTTATATTGGCGGCCACCAAATCTGATAATTGCTTGTCGTTATACTGATTCTGGAGACATCTTATTATTTGTTTTTTACTCCATTATCTCAAACTGGTTTAGTGACTTCAGGTAACCTTCCAAAACATTTTCCCCAATTCTATACAAAGTTAACACATTTCTTTTCATTTTTGTAAAACCTAATTTTCTCGTTTACTATCATTAGGTGATTATGTACTTATAAGATGTTCATTTCCCTTTTTTTTTCTATCCTTGGTATTTAACAGTTCAAGCTTAGAAGGGAGAGTCCATGTAAATTGAAAACATCTCCCTATACCATGTCTCCAGTATCTGAAAAAAGTCAACATTTGCTGAAGTTTCCACAAAAAGTAAGCAGGTGGAATATATTTTAAAAATGTAATTATGTAATTCGCACCGAGGGGCTTTACTTTTGCTTTTGTTATAATCAGTCTGTTTTCTGTCCTAGTTGCCAATCTTGTAATAGGCTAAATAGTAAACTTGTCAGTAACCGTCATCCTATTTTTTATAACTTGTTACAGCAAGCGCGTAAAATATCTCGGGTACCATATAAAGTTCTAGATGCTCCGGAGCTACAAGATGATTTTTACCTTAATCTTGTTGATTGGTCTTCTCAAAATGTACTGGCGGTTGGGCTGGGAACATGTGTTTACTTGTGGAATGCTTTCACTAGCCAGGTAAGACAATCATGTCGTTTGTCTACTCTTATTTTAAGCAAGTTTTGTCTAACTTTTTAAGTGCAATAAATATCCTAATTTTTAACTTTTTAGGTTACTCGATTGTGTGATGTTTCTGGAGAAACCGATGTTATTTCATCAGTTGCGTGGTCCAAAAAGGTATATCGGTAAAACTAATAATTGTAATCATTTATTACATTACTCATACGTTGTGCCAGTTATAAAATGTTTGTAGTTATTTAGCCGTGTAATTTGACTAGAAAAATTGCTCTTGTATCCATTCAGTTTGCTGTATAATAAACCTATTTTTACTGGGTAACTTTCCGAACTAACTAATGCATGAAAAAGGGTAGTAACCGAAATTTTTTCTGACGAAGCTGGTGCTTTATGAAGTGAAACTTCAATGAAAACTTCACTCACATAGTTCCCTTGATTTTTCAGTAATATCCAAATTTGTTAGCGTTAGGAATTTCCATTCTATTTTGCCATGTACTTGATTCCCGGGCCGTTTATAAAAAGACTGGTTTGAAGTTGCGTGACTGATTGGCGGGCCGTCATCTGTTCGAAGTAATTTCTAGACTAACTCCAATCTTACTCATACTAATTTTTTGTGATTTCTTTTAGTTAACTGAAAGTTATTTAGTTGGGTCACAAAATATAACTTACTACTACTGTGTTTACTAAAAGGAACTGTTTCACCACATAACCCCCTCACTTGCTTGAATCGCTTCCCTGCATTACTACATAAGCTACAGCTTTGTTACTGTTAAACTGGGTGACAAATTTGATGACCAAATCCATATAAATTACCAACTATGGGGAGTTTTCTATTTTCTACTTTTTTTCCATTAATGAGACAATTCATTCGACCTAATTGAAGGGAATATCCGTTAATTAGCATATGTTCACCGTTCCGTACACTTATAGTTAAAGTGTTATTGTTAATATGTCCTACAAATAAGAAAACAACTGGACAGGCACCTACTTACATATATAGTCTTACTATGTAAATGCATATACTCAGCAGATAATACATTCGAAACAGTATAATTATATTGAGGCTGTGTAATGAATTCATTTCTCAAAAATTTTTCTTTAAATAGATTAATGTTAATTCGCTTTAAGTAATACTTTCATCTTGTTTTGTAGGGTAGTCATTTAGCGATCGGCACTTACCGTGGTCATGTTCAAATATGGGATGTGACTAAAAGTTCCTGCATACGCTCACTAAACGGACATATCGCTCGTGTCGGTGCTTTGGCGTGGAATGCTGATCTTCTGGCATCTGGCAGCCGAGACCGTTATATTCTGTTACGTGATACACGTGCTTCAGCTAATTCTGGTGGTGGACCCACTGGTCATCTACCTACTACAAATCCCTCTACTGCTTCTGTATTAACTGCTGAACTTGCTGATAGGGATGAGATTATGACTGATTTCAATTCCATTAGTTCACCGAGTCACATTGATCAAGTAGAAAGTGACCCAAACTATCTGCGGGCTTCAACACCTATGGTATCGATCAATAGTGACCTTCCGGAAGTTGATCCTCCAAGTACTCCAGCTCAAACGGATATAGACATGCTTGGGTTTCGAGATACGGATCACGCTTCATCATGGTCTGCCGCAAGGACGTCAGCAAATTCCACTGTCATCCAGACCACTGCTTTACAGTCGATCGAAAATGGAGCAGATCGTCTTGTTCCTGGAGCAGTACGTGTGCTAAAGGATCATAGACAAGAGGTTTGTGTGATATTTTTCTTTCAAGTAAAATTTCTGATTGCTTATTTATATTTTGAAATTTAATTGAGATTTTATCACCATTTTCTGCGTTACAAACCCACGTCATTATCAACCAACATCAAAATTTACTCTTATTAGTAAGTTTCGTGTCGTATCATGAAGTGACTACGAGTCTTAATTTATTCACATTATAATCTAAAAACATTTCAAGTTTTATCTGGCCATTCATTGTTAGCATATTCTGTTTTTCAAAATAAATTCTTTAGCATTGATATATATATTGTTGGAATTCGTAGGTATGTGGGTTAAAATGGTCTCCTGACAGTCAGTATTTAGCGTCAGGAGGTAATGACAATCGTCTACTCGTTTGGAGTCAGCATGCACCATCTACTGGTGGCCCTGTCTTAACGTACGAAGAGCATGTGGCCGCTGTCAAAGCAATTGCATGGTCGCCTCATCAACATGGATTACTCGCAAGTGGCGGTGGTACAGCTGATCGTTGTATTCGATTTTGGAATACATTAACTGGTCAGGCTTTACGTAGCGTGGATACTGGAAGTCAGGTAAGTGATCCATGCTGACGATGTATTATTTAATAATCTTAGTTTATGAAAGAAAAAATGATTATTTTGATAATAATAAATCAGAAAGTAAATTGGAAATTAGCTTATTAAGATTAAAGAATAGATTGTTATTTCATTATTTAACATTCATGTAGGTGTTTTTTCAATGCAAATATCATGGATGTTGTATTTCTGTGTAAACTGCAAAAAGACCTTATTATAGTTATTTAATAGGTCGATGTATGCGTTTTTGGTTTTGATTGTACATACAAGTATTAAGTGGATGGTTTGCACATTTTTGAGAAATGTTTTAGGGTTTGTCAAATATAGGTGACTGTTTCAACTAGTATTTATACACGTATAATCTAAATGTAGACACATTTCAAGTATGTCGGTAGTTGAATTCGTGTTTATTATTTTGTAAGAGTTAAGCAAATTGTTTTTGCAAACATATCACGTCAGTTTCAGAATGTGTATACAGATCGATACATTTTAGTTATTTCTTCCTAGTCGATCGGCTAGTTTGGATTGTAATGTGGCGTTTTATTTAAAGAAATTGACCATGTAGAATATATTGTTTATACTACCATTTGGTCAGAAGTTCGTCGGACGTTACTCCACTCAATACTATATGTTGGCAACTGGCTATTGCCACTATCAGAAAGCTGAATATAGAAGCCTAAAATGGAGCTACACTAAAATCTACATTGAATAAAAATGAAAATGATCTTACATGCCCTATATCGTATTACTGAAATGTCTAGTGGAAAGTAGTTTAAAACTTCACTATTTATCCTAACACTTCGAGAAACATGTTCCAAAAGCTGCTATCTGGGTTGCATAAACGGTTTACTTTTTGTGGGACTTTCACTTGTAAAGATCTCAAATAAAAAGAACAATGATCTTTTCTTAACGCTTTAAATAAATTGTACTGTGTAAATTTATGTGAGTAAAAATTGTTGCTTCTTAACCGTGTACTCAACAAAAACTAGGTGTCTATATTGTTGACTGGTTTACATTTTGGCTAGGTTTGTAATATTGCCTGGTCCATACATAGTAACGAATTGGTCAGTACACATGGTTACTCACAGAATCAAATTCTTGTTTGGAGATATCCTAGTCTAACACAGTTAGTCAAGTTGGTTGGGCATTCATATCGTGTGCTGTACCTAGCAATCAGTCCAGATGGTGAAAACATAGTAACTGGTGCAGGAGATGAAACACTTCGCTTCTGGAATATATTTACTAAAGCCAAAACTCCAAAAGTTAGTATACTAAGTGTTGTTTGTGTCGTTGTTTTTATTTCGACCTTGTATAATTGGTTGATCTGATCATCTAGTTTTGATCTCTTCAGATATTTGGTTATGAAATGTTTTTATCTGTGGTTAACCAATATAATTCCAAATAGTTACGATGATTTTCCAACAGTTCACTTACAGAACATGCAGATACTACTCATCTCCCTGGGGTGAATTTTTTCTAGTATCCTAATAACTAATTTTCCTAGCTAAATTAGTTTTTTTGTTGCATACTGTCACTATCAAACGGAACAAGGTAAATTCACACACAAAAGCCGTCGAGTTAATCTTTTTAAATATCACATAAGTTTGTCAGTAGGCTCCAACTCAGTGGGGTTGAAAAGACTATGAGTAATCTAAAGCGAGGAAGGGCAGCTGGGCTTAACGGATATTCGTAGGTCACCAATATTCGTTTATAGGTGTCTTTGAAGCATTGTTTACGTGTTTTGCGATCAGTAAGTAATCAAAGCCTGGGTTAGGGATAAATTTCTATATGAGGATGAGAAATCGATTGATGAGGCGGCCAAATCGAAACATGGCATCAGTTCACGGAGTCACTGACAGTTGGACTTAACCATGTTCATAAGTGTATGCTGCCTGGTTAGAGTCCGTGTGATTATCGTAATTAATAGTTAGGGACATGCCTCAAAATCGTTTGCAGTAGCGCAGATGCATCCGTTCTTTGTTTTCCCCAAATCCTGCGATTCTAAATCCCTCATAACTTTTTTGTTTTTATTTCACTAACTTTTATTTTCTTCTTGAGTCGTATCTTCGATGTTTAATTTTTACTATTACCACTGATATTGTTACTATCTCTACTATTCTGGGATTTGGTCTGGAGATCTAATCACTGTGCTAATGGGGTTTAGGAACTTGAACCCGATATACATACGTACTAGGTTCTACGTTATGATTAACTGTGTAATTTGGTGCATGTCTTCTATGTATTGGTAACCTGCTTAATAGTTATATTTCGTTGTAAGTTACCTCTTAATTTCGTTATAATACTCATGTCTGTATCAATTATTGTAAATATGAAGCGTTTCTGTTGACTTAATATACAGGTTTCTAGCCTTATATATATAACATCAGATGATTGACTGGAAACAGCAGATAAAAAAGTACTTATCAATAGACAATCAAATATACTCTGTCGTTAAATAGATGTATTTCACATAATCTGGTTTCTCTAAACATGAGTAGCTGAAAGCAAACTTAGTACCGTGGTATTTATTTTATGTTAAACAGAGTTATGATGTTCATGGAATCACACCAGTTAATATGTTTATATTTTAGTGTGGATGTAATGAGTGTTAATTTTTATCGTAAATGAATTTTTATGTTATGCACAAATATGTTGCATATATATATTCAGTACGAGTAACTTTTGTGCTACCGTATGTTTCACAACTTCAAACTATCTCACATTAAATCCATTGATTTTTATTAGATGCAACCATCTTCACTGAACTTATTCAATGGGATTAGATGATCTATCTAAAAAAGAAGTCTTTCAAAACCTGTGGATATTTCTCCGATGTGTTTTATTCTACTTAGTAAATATATATGTATCATCAACAATGTGCGCACATTAGTTATATGCTATCCATACATATTACTCGACTATATTATTCATTTCTGTAAATATATGATTACTTATTGATAGAAATTTCAAATGTGTTAATAACTATATATTCCATCATTAACAATTACATTCTGGTCGTATGTATCAACGCCATAACTCTTATTTTCTACAGGTCTTGAACTTCTAACTTTTACTTCAGTCAGTTCAACTGTATGCAATATTATATGGTTGCTTCTTATTTCTGTCTTTACTTATTACATATTGAACGAAACAAAATAGTAATCATTATTAATTTATATTTTCCTCACAATTGCTTGTCTTTGTGAAATTGTACTTATAATATATTTCTTAGTTTTGTAATTCCTTTAAATAACACATTGTGTAAGCCACTGTGTATCTGTTCATCCTGGTCATTTGTGACAACTTTTTCTTTTCTTTTAATCTATTTGTATTTTTCTTTTGGCTGTCTGTGTCGTATTTAATTCAACTTCTTTGACACTGTGATAGTCTTCCTCATAATAATAACAATAATATATATGTACATATATATAATGTGCAGCGAAAATAAAACATCATCTTAGTTACTATTGTTTCCCTGGTATACTACTCAATGTGGTTGAGTCACATATTTATTTCATACAAAAACGCGGGTGCTCCTATCAATTGATACTTGCGGTGAAATATTGACGAATTAATGTGTAAATTACTTGTTTTGCAAATTAGTGTCTAGAGTATTAAATTATCTGAAAATCTGGTCCAGGAATTTATCAGTCTTTGATTATAAATAACTGCCTTATAATGATGGTAATGATGAGAAGAATGCGATTCTGGACGTTGATTGTGTTATTAGTTATTATCACTAAGATTAAGAAATCCATGCAGTGATTCTAAGAAAAGTTGGTCAATAAAATACGTTTATTCAGTCAAATTTTTATTCCTTTGCAAAAATTTGTTCCACTCAGTTTCCGTAAAGAATATTTTGACTTGCGTTACCTTTATAAATCCTACTGGAACTGCAAACTCATCATGTACAGTTAGGTGTATACTAGCATATATGTATCATCAAGTGTTATTGTAGTTTTTAGGAAAACGAGTGTACGAAAAGATCTGTTTAAATTGGTCAAGTAAGTATAGTTTCCAGTTTTTTCGGATTAAATGGTATTATCTATTTTCACTTGTGGAATTTTCAAGGCATTGAAGGTCATTTGCTCTATGTGATTTTTATTATTATACGTATATGTTGTACTGGTTATGGTATCTTTATTGAGATAGTGAAAAGCTTCACTAAACTGGTTTTTATCACGATTACACTCCGAATAGGTTTTCAACGACTGTAAACTTGAAAGTGATCCTCAGTCAAGAGTGTTATCAAGTAGCTGTAGAAATTTGTTATAATAATAGTGTATACTTTATTGTTTTTAACTTATTTTGGTCGAATATAAAAGTTAAATAAGTTGTAACAATAATAACTCTACACCATAGTGGATAACGCTTTGAGTATTGAATAAGGTCTGGTATTTCATATTTTAAAGAAGTATTTGTTGCAATTTTAGGATAAGTTAATTTATATTAAGGATACTGTGAATTACCAGTGCTTAAAGAACGCAACGTTTGCTTCATTCTATAATAGTAATGGCACTGAGATGTAGTTTTCTCACTGGTGTAACTTATATCCTATGAATATTTAATCTAGTTTATTTCATAATCTGAATCAGATCACATATGAAGGCGGTTGTGAATTTTTACTTAATTAACATTATTATAATACAGAAAGAACATTACATTGTAGGTCAGATTTTGTTTTCCAATAAAGGTACAACGAAAATAATCTGAACAACCGTGATATGTGAAGAAATTATAAACGAATCCTTTTTTCACACTCATTTGTAATGCTGCATCCTTCCATTTGTAATCTGATTCTACAATCTATTTAATCTAATAACGGGTATATTTTTATTCATATGGTTGATAAATTTCTAACTAGATATATGATAAAATACAACTGGGTTGGTATGACTTAGTACCATTATCGACTATTTAATCTCATGTTCATTATGGTTGATCTTCAGGGTTACTTCATTTTATAGCTTTGACAAATCTACCCTTGGTGGTCAGTTAATCGATTTGACAGGAAATAATTAATTTTGAGCTGGTTGTTGTGAAAATAGTCGGACAATTAGTTCACTGATTACATTGATAATTAAATTATGATGATAGTGATACAAGTTAACTGAAATTGAATTATTTAGACCATCATATTCGTACATTACCAGTATTTGATGATGATTCTCTTCGAAGTATTGCTTGTGTGTGTCAGGAGCATCAAGTGAACAGTATCGAGGTTAGTAGCGGTATACCAGTTTATTATATTTATTTGAGCACAAATATTGGTACAAAGCGGCACCGAATACATATGCGCCACACAAGTAACTTGATTTGTGTGTAGGCTGTGGTACTGCTCGGGTGCCCAGACCGAAGCAGGTGGTTTTCTTAGGAAGCCACACCCGGAGCCTTCGACATAAAGGTCTGATCCACAAGGCAGTGGGACAACATCAGGAGATACACAGTCTCTTGGTAGCCGGTGACCAACATTAGGTTCATACGCCATTTGTTTCTTCAAAATACTGCAGCCCATGTACACCATCGGTTTGGAATCAGGGTTTTCCAACTTCCCTAGGTGGACCCTCCATGTCCACCGACCCGGTTAAATCTCAGGACACTCGCTTTTTGTCCTCTCAATTTCGTGGACAACGCTCCCGCATAGAGAAGGAAGCGAGTGGGAATTCCCTGGTGGTGTCTGTATACGCGTGGCCATATGAGAGCACTTGGAAAGGGAGAGCTAACTCTCACCACCCTCGGCTGTACCGGGGCATTTGGGGGCTGACGTGGTTAGAATATTTGTCACGTGTGTCTTATCGCCTTCGACTTCATTGTTTGTAAGAGTGGGTTGGAAGGCCAGGAGCAGCTGCTAAACAAAAAATGTCGCATATTGTAATTGACAGTTGGACTAAGTCATCTAGTTAGGTATAGACTACCTGGATGCGATTCGTATGATTGTCGTACCCAATGGTTGAATTGCTCTCAGAAATGCAGATGCATTCACTATTTGTATGTCCTTTGATTTTGAGTTTTCAAATTATGTTACACTTGGCAATTTCATAAATTCATTGCTCTCGAATAATACTGTCTATACGTAATGTTTTCTTCTACTACTTTTGAATTAATCTTGATAATTCCCTATACTGACGTGGTGTAAGGACTTAAACTGATGCACATATGTGGCTGGTTCTATATGGTTTTAAATTATGAATGTTAATTTAACTCCTATTTCAATATTTCTTCATTTGGTATCCAACACTTAGTAAAATCATCTGAAATAAGCAATCGATCGTTAAATTATCAAATGAAATACCAGTTTTTATGACAATGTCATAATGAACGTATTTATGATTATATTTGTATTATGTCTGAAAATCTAATTTTGCTAATCTTTTTCTGAATTTCGATTATAATATTTCTGATATTGTCTCGAATCCTACTTGAATTAAGATTGATAGGTACAACTTACTGATAAGTTCCAACAAAATTTTTTCTGTGAAACTTTTCATCATCTAATATCAGAATTAAATATATTCCAGCTACTCCTTAGTGTTAATGCTTACATATAAATGATGGAAGATATCATCATGTTAAATTAATAACAGCTCAAACATGGTGACTTGATAATTGAATTACTTCAGAATTTCATTTAGGAAATATTCAGTGAAACACACTTGAATATTTTAATAAATTCATGTTCTTACCACATTCTCAAACAATTATTATGTCAATTAAATGGACGGTGACGATCAGTTGAAAATATCCACTTGTTTCAAGTTGATGCGTACAAACATATACATATTGGCATCATCGTATAGATTTTAATAAGTGGTTTGACATGGTGTAATATTATTTCACTGTTACGTCATGATTGTACATGTATCAATTTAAGGTGATAACCATCATCTAAGTATTTGAACGTCAGTCTGTTATTTATGGTTTTGTTATACGTAATGAATTCATGGACTGGAAATAAAGTGATACTAAAGAAGAATGTAGGTTTAGAAAAGTAAATTAACCGTGTTAAAAATATAGAACAGTAATAGATAATATCTATAGGTCAGAATGAGGATATTAGATTTTATATTTTCTAGACAGGATGGTTTAATTGAGCTTTCATTGTTCCTCTAAAAAACATCATCAGAGAAGTGGGTAATTATAATTTCTTCACGAATGGCTTACAACTTGTTTTGTTGACCTAGTATTTGGTTGGTTATTGTTTGTTTTTGGCTGTTTTCTTTCTTAATATGAACTCCGAGATTACAACTGCCAGTTCTTTTTTTATTGATTGATAGACTTCGTCGATTCAAAGTGGTGGTTGGAGGTAGTTGACATGAAGACCTAGACTTGGTTTTCATGCTCGACACAGACTTGCACCCATATTACAACTGGGTCGATAGAATTTAATTAGCACTAAGAAGGACTGGACATACATGGCATTAATCACTACTCAGTGATCAATCAATAGTAAATTTGGTTGTTTTCAATGACTCTATTGATTGATGCTTGATTAAAGTTGTAACAGCTTCTATTTTATTACTCGATCTATTCCAGCTTTTGGACAACTGAACAGTTCCGACTTTTCTACGAATTTTGTCGCTTACACATATACGCGTTGTTATTAGTGAGATTTAGTGAAATAACATATAAGTTGTGAGTAGAATCTATATTTCGTGTAAACCACTAATGATTTGATCACATTGGAGTCAGACAGCAGGTATTTAGAAAAGTGCAGGGTTTTGAAAGATTCTCCGGTTCTCTTGGTGTTCTTTTAATACAATATCTTGACATTTCCCATGTCAAAATTATGTCCATAAGCATTAATGTAGGACCATATCTTGTCATTTAACAGCGAACTGGATTTTACATAAACATGAACGAAGAGTGTGGCCTTGCTTGTCGTGCATGTTTGTCATAGTCGTTGCTTCACAACCGAACTATTTAATTCAGAGACCACAGCAGCAACAGTAAATATATCTACACCAATATGGTCGATCGTGAGGAATGTTAACTAAGGTCTCCAATTACTGTGTCTGATATTCACAATTAAAAGGTTTGCAACCCTCCATCAAATAACTAGCTAACATTCTAAGACTTCATAGTCTGGAACTGTGGCGTAGCATTTTGACCGTTACTTTCTTATATTAAATGAACCCATTTCAACAAGCATCTCACTTCAAATTAAAAAGTGGATCAGAATGTCCAATATGGCCAAGCTACTTTAGTATTGTATTCTTAGCCTAGAACTTTGAATCGAACTCCAACAACTCTCAAAATATTGACCATCCCCACACGCGAGCAATAGCACAGAGATGATTTTTATCAAAAATTTGTAATCTACAAATATCTTCCACATGTAATGACGAAGTCTTAAATTCGTACATCACTGAGCGAGCTATTGTTCAGCATACTCTCCATGTGATAGATAATCAGAGATTTACCTGATACTGTAGATGCCATGAAGAACTATCAACTCCTTTGCT